GAAATGATGACAGTGCCTCCTTCTTCACACTCAATCAACAAATTTAATGGAAGTGAAACGGAAGCTGACAAGGAGGCTGACATTACACATACTCTTACTCATGCAGAAATAATAGAAAAACCTTTTAAATGGAGTGAAAAAAAATTAAAAGACATTGACAAAGAAATGAAAAAAAAAAAAAAAGGTTTTAGGAGAGGAGAAAAGCTGGGGGCAAGGAAGCTCCTAACTTTTGACCTAATAATCACATTTGCAGAAAGTCTCTCTTGTGCGGCTCATGGAGTGGTTCACATAATGTTAATGTGTGAGTAAGATTATGCAAAGAGAAAGGAATTCAGCAAATTCCAAGGTATTCTTGGGCTTATTCTGTCCCATTGCTCCACCCCCACCCGAGCATCTATATAAACATTCGCAGTGTGAGTATGACAATTTAATATTTTAAACAATTACTTTGAGACAATTCAAGTTCTTGAATTTGATCAGAATCTCAGCCCACAAATCCACAAACACCAGAGTGTGGGAAATATAACTATGTATTTCAGTAACGCTACTTAATTTTTATCTCTGCACTACTACCACCACTACCATTACTACTCATTCTACCTATCTGATGGTAGACTTGTCCTTTTAAAAATCTTGGCATCATTTTACAGTATTTTACACAGTATTTTAAAATACATATATAGTATTTAAAAAATTTTGGTGTGTGGGGGTTGCAAATACTCCCTAGAATTATCAAGGCTTCCAGAGGTGAAGTATTGTGGAGTGGAAGAGCAGCAAGGCCTTTCATGTCTGGCAGCTCTGCTTTTGGATTCATGGTTTGGGCTTGGGAACATTTATTAGGCTGCTTATAGTTACATCTGTCCAGATGCTCTCTGGCCTTGCTTTCACACTGACAGTGATACTGGAAAGCTGGTACAGCACCCTTTTCTTTTCCTTCCCTCTCCTCTTTCCAAACAGAATGGCTTTCTAGTGTGGAGTGAAAAGAAGCCCCACTCATTCCCCTTCCTGAGATATCTTGTCTCAGGAAACTATCTTGCCCAGTTTCCTGGAGCTCAAACTTTGGGAAACAAAGGCAGGAAATCTAACAGGCTTTCTTCTCTCGCTGGAGGATATGAACGCAGGCCAGAACATCTGCTGGAATGGGGGTAGGTTTGAGGGAGAAGGAAAAGAAGGAAAATGAGATATATAGTGATGAAAAAATAGTAGATTATTCCAATATGTTGTCTTGGAATGATGCTAACATTATTACATGCTTACATAGTAAGCCAAGTGCTCTGGCGAGTGCTTTATGTGGATTATTACAGAGAAATGCTCATAATCTGATAATAAGTTGGTATTGTTATTCACATTTTACAGTCACGGAAGCTAAGGCTCCAGGAGGTTTACTCATTTGACCAATATTACATAGCTAGTAAGTAGCAGGGCTCAGATTTGTGCCGTTTCGGATTCCAAAGCCCATGCTTTTAACCACCACAAGAAAAGATAGTGACGTTTAAGATCTTGCGGATAGGAAAGTCTATGTACCCATTTTAGCACTATTTTTCTAACCATGGGGTTTGAAATAAAAATAATACAGGGCTTAAGCAGTGGCCTCAGTCAATAGAAATATTTAGTTAACCAGGATTCCATGAACCTTTTCTGGCCTGGCCACTTTGCCCTCCAGCTGTGATAGTTTCTCCTCCTAATTCCCAGCTCTGCTCCTGTCTCTGGTTTCCTGAGTGTTACTCTCACTGCCTTTCTTGGCACCTTTATCCCTGTGGTTCTACCTCTTGATCTTTCTCTTTCTTGACCCTAGCCCTACTCCATGGCTTCTGGTTCATGATGAAGGAATTTATGCTTAAGTTTTGCAGTCTTCTTTGAGCTAACCCAGTGGACCTTAGCTAGGGCTCATGGCAATGGCTCTTATGAGTTCTTTCACTTTTGTCAGCTAGGTTTCCCTATGAAGTTCTCCAGTGCTCTTTCCCAGTTCCCAGATTCCCATCATGACCAGCCCTCCAAGGTCACTTGGTAAGCATTTAAGCCCTTAGGTCTCAGCAGTATCCTGGGAGAGGACCAACATCTTCTGCTGTGGCAGGTAACTTGAGTGTCCCTGTATCTCAAAGAGCCTGTACTAAGAAACCACGCAGAGAACTGTTCCATGTAATGCATACAGCCAAGCTGGGCAGCCCCTTAACAGAGAGGAATTTAACTCACAGGGAAGCCTTTAACAATTATCCTGAGGTGAATAAAAGGCTTAAAACGATTGACTTGTCAGATAGGCATGGTTTTTAAAAACAAAAACTGTCCCATTACCCTTCTTGTAGCCCCAGGAGTTATCAAGCTGTGTGGAACTACTACTACAGTCTTTAAAACTACCACATTCATTGCCATGAAAATAGCTTGGCCAAAACCACAGATGGTCTACCAAGGTACAAGTGAAAACAGGAAGATAATGGGACAGGTGGGAGTGGGGACACATGTACACATAAAAGTGAGGCAATTCAAAGAGAAAATAATTCACGTAGTTATTATAGAAACACATATTGAAATTTGTGAATTTGTCCTTCAAAATTTCTCCCTCCTCTGCCTCACTTCAATGGTGCAAAGCCCCTTCAGGTTCTGGTGGGATTATTGATTATTGATCTTCCTGCCTTTACCTACATGGTCTCTCTTTATAATTCTCCAATTCCTGTGAAGAGTTAATATCATCCCCAGTGTAGACATGAGAAAATGAGGCCCCAAGAGGTTATCAAATATTTGGGCATGGTCTGGTGGACAAAAAATGACTTTTCTATTATATCACACTGACTCTAGTAGGCCCTAAGGAGTAGGTTTAGGGATTTGAGGAAGAGCCCATATATCTGGTTTAACGGCCTTTTGTTAGTCTTCAAATTAAAACATGTAAAGTCTGTCAATTCTGCCTTTATGCAAGGTTGATTAGGGCCAGAATAGAAAGTACTATATTTGCAATATAAGGAACTTCTTTTTGGGATTTGATAAAAAATTCTGTAGAGCAATTATTCTGGCTGGGGAGTTTTTAAAAATGTTTATACCTGGGTTGCACCCCATGCCAATTATATCAGACTCCCTTGGTATAGACCCCACACATCAGTATTTTTAAAACTCCCCAGGTGTTTTCCCCAGTGGCCAGGATCAAAAACCAGGGCTCTAAAGCAGTGGTTCTCTAACATGTAGCAGAATCACCTGGAAGGCTTGTTAAAACATTGGTTGCTAGGACCCACTCCCAGAGTTTCTGATTCAATAAGTCCGGGGTGGCTCCCAAGGATGTGCATTTCTAATAAGTTCCCAGGTCACATGATATTCCTGATCTGAGGACCATACCTGGAGAATTGGGAAGGTAAGTTGAGTGAAAGTAAAGCTTGTCTATGCTTCTGCTCCCATTCTTCCTGTTTATGAGGTTATAAGAAGTTTGTGTCTGATTCTCCTTCATGTCTTTCCAGAATGCTGACTCACTCAACAAGAATACTAAAAGAACATCATTTATTGTGTAAATGCTAAATAGTCTGTGAGCATCAGAAGTGTTTTTGAATAAATCAGGCAGGCAGGGCTCAGTGGCTCACACCTGTAATTCCGGCACTTTGGAAGCCCGCAGTGGGCAGGTCACGAAATCAGGAGATCGAGACCATCCTGGCCAACAAGGTGAAACCCAGTCTCTACTAAAAATACAACAAAATTAGCTGGGTGTAATCCTAGCTACTTGGGAGGCTGAGGCAGGAGAATTGCTTGATCCTGGGAATTGGAGATTGTAGTGAGCCGAGATCGTGCCGCTGCACTCCAGCCTGGTGACAGAGCTAGACTCCATCTCTAAAAATAAAAATAAAAAGTAGAAAAATAAATCAGGCAATGAATCCCATCAGGCTTTGATGAATTCTAAGGAGTTTACCACCATTTTCAGTAGGAAAGTAAACATCTTTCAAATAAAATGTATCCTCAAATTTAGTTGTGCTACTCATTCTAACAGCATTTTTTAAAGCCTTTGCAATTACTCTTCTTTATTATTTTCAGTGAAGTCAAGTTATAAAGTTTGTGGACCGAGATAAAACCTTGAGTCTGTCCGGGTAGGGTTGCCAGAATTAGAAAAACAAACAAACACATGTAAACACACAGGACATCCAGTTAAATTTCAGTTTCAGATAAATAATGAATAATTTTTAGCATAAGTATGTCCCATGCAATATTTGACAACCCTGATAGGTGGTAAATATTGGAATGGGAACGATATAAATGCCTGCTGTGGAGAACTGGGACAGTACCATATCCATTTCTGTTTTATGGACACACAGGATTACTTACTCGATATTGTATGTTGTTCATTGAGAACTCTAAGTATTTGCTGAATTGATAGAATATGAATACCTAAGATATAAATGCAATATATGAAAGAGCTGAGTGATTTCAAAGAAGGATGCTTGATCAACTTAAGATGACAGTGTCTTTTGATTTAGTTACCCCACTTTGATCATTGTCTAAATCAGTGATTCTTAACTGAAGATGATTCCCCTGTACCAGGGGACATTGGCAATGTCTGGAGATATCTTTGGCTGTCACAAGGGGGTAGGAGAGGTGCTACTGGCATCTATTTGGTTGAGGCCAGGAATGCTGCTGAACACCCTATGATGTACAGAACAGCCTCGGGCAACAAAGAATTATCTGGCTCAAATGTACACAGAGCTGAGGTTGAGAAATTCTGGTCTAGATCATAGTGCAGAGGATTTAGCAAATCTTTTGTTGAATTTTTCTGACAGTGTCCTGGAGTGTGTTGGTCTCTCATTCTTCCACGTGTCATGGGAGGAAAGATGGTGTCTCCTATTTGCTATACTGTGAAGGAATGGGTGGAAGAATTTTGATATGCTTCTTCAAAATTTTACAAAACAAGGAAGGTGCTGCTGAGGTTCCAGAAAAAGTCCCAGTCTTCCATTGCTGCTCTTCTTCCTGTAGCCTGGCCTACATTTGAAGCTTTTGGAGTTCATGCAGGAACTACGAAATTTGGGTGAGTGCACTATATCAATCTCCCCTTCTTTAATGAGGGAGACATAATTTTTGTCTCGACCTTCCAATTAGTTCTGGCCATACAGGACTTGTTTGCAAATGGTAATTGGAGGAGTAATAGTAATAGTTATATTACTATTGCTGTAATACATGTACTTTCTACTAAACACAGGAACAATGAACATTCATAATACATGTAACAATATCTTATGTTTTCATTTATGTTTACCTCTAATGAACTATACAACATTAAATAGACATATATTCACATTACAGAACTAATTAATTTTCATGATACCCATGAGAAGCAAAGTGGGGGTGAGTTACATTATTCCCATTTTAAGAGGAGATAATTAAACCTTGCCTGGAGTTACACATTGACCATTTGAGAAGCTAGAAGTAAATTACAAGTCTTGACAATGGTGCCACTTCTTCCAACCAGGGCAGTGTTCCGCTGATGGCACTGATACATCAGTCCCTGGTCAATGCCCAGGCATAAATGTCTAATTTGAAAATCCTTTTTAAATGTAACATGGCAGATTGTGAAGGGTGGTTGCTAATTAGAGAAGAAGGATGACATAACAAGGATATTTTCATTGCTAGTGGTTTACCCTTTTTAAACAAAAACATACCAGTGAAAAGTAGAAAAGAAAATCATACATTATGGTTCAATAATTGTTTACTATGGGCTACTTGGTGCCAAGTCCTATGCTAGGAGCTCTGAAAGATGAAAGCTAAATATGTATCCTTGATAGATATTTAATATGTAGTTGAAGAATCAAGACTTACCTGCAAGAAACATGCAGAGCACTGTAAAAGACATAATATAATCAAGTGCCAAAATGTGTGTATAGAAGGCTTTTGTGTCCTAGAAGACAGACATCTTTTATTTAAAAAAGGTGAAACTGGGGAGAGTTTGTGTGGCGGGACTGTGGCGGCAGTGAGAGCAATTGGCACTGGCCCTTGCGTCCGGTTCAGTCAGGAGTTGGACTTCCTGACCATTGCCATCCACATGCCCTACGTCCGGGTCTCAGAGTTCAACGTCTACTTTGAGAGGCCTGACTTCAGGTTCTATGCCAAGCCCTACTTTCTCAGATTAACCCTTCCTGGAAAAATTGTAGAAAATGGAAGCGAGCAAGGGTCCTATGATGCAAAAAAAAAAAAAAAAAAAAAAAAAGGAATTTTTACCATTCACTTGCCCAGGGGCTAGACATGTGCTGCTCTTCTGGCACCAAGAAAATCCAGGACAGCAAGACCACTTTTGGAAGAAATAGGTGCTTCTGAGATTCCTGAAGAAGTAGTTGATGATGAAGAGTTTGATTGGGAAATTGAGCAGACATCCTATGAATAGGTATCAGAAAGTGCTATGAATCCGCAGTGCCACTATGGATTTGGAAACTTACAATCAGGAGTGTTTCAGTGGTTACAGGATGAATTGAGTGATGTTATTGATATTAAGGATCTAGATTTCAGCCCTGCAGCTGAACCAAGACAGAAGTGCCTGGCCACTGAGCTGGCCGAGTTTGATCCTGATCATTATCTAACTGACATTTTTGAAGATGAGGCGGTTGAACAGATTTTGAAGTACAATCCATGGTGGACTGACAAATATTAAAAAATGACAGCCTTTTTGGAAAAGAGTCAGGAGCAAGAAATCATGCTTCTTTAGTGTCTTTTTCTGAAGAAGAAAAATATCAGCTACAAAAATTTGTCAATAAATCTTATCTGTTGGACAAGAGAACCTGTTGTCAAGTGTACTACAGTTTGATTGATGTCCTTCTGGAATATTGCTATGAAACCTGTGTCACTGAAGGAGAGAAGAATGTTGAATCTGCATGGAATATCAGGAAACTGAGTCCAACATTATGGTGGTTTGAGACTTGGACTAATGTTCATGCTATCATGGTGTCTTTTGGAAGAAGGGTGTTGTGTTACCCACTCCACTGCCATTTCAAGCTGGTGATGAAGGCCTAGAGGAACACTATATAGATATTACAACTAGGTAAAAGTGCAGTTTTAAAGTATCTCTGGATATTCACAAAATTTTTCAGGAAAACAACACAGCATAAATACTGAATGATCTCTACATCTCAGACTACTGTGTGAATTCAGAAAGTCAAATCTAAAAGTTGGCAGTTCTTGCAGAAGAAGCCTTAAAGGAAATCTCCCTTACAAAGGCCCAGCTGGGGTTAGAACTGGAAGAACTAGCAGCAGCAGCACTTCTTGTCCAGGAAGAAACTGCATTAAAAGCAGCCCATTCAGTATCTAGGCAGCAGACACTTTGCTCCAGATCTGAGGCAAGTGATATAGAGGAGTCAGACAGCACCGTGTCATCTGGAAATGAAGACTCAGACTCAGATTCAAAACAAGTTAAACTCAAAGATAGTCCATCTAAGACAGTCAGTTCTTTGCAAGGTCCCTTTGTGGAAAGCAGTGCCCTTCTTATTGTTGATGGTGGAGTATGCAGAAACATAGCCATCCAGGAATCCGATGCCAGTCAAGGAAAGTCACTTGCCTCTTCCCAGTGTTTTGGAGTGCCTGGGCCTCTGATAGCGGAGTGTGGGGAACAAATGAAGACCACAGTTCAAGTTTCTGAACCCAAGGGCACCACTGCTGTAACAATATGCAGGAGAGAGACAGCTGTCAGACACCAAATAATTGACTCTTAAGTGGTTTTATTCATTGTTAAGAAATATGTTAGATTCAGTTTCATTTACAGAATAAAAATTCCTCATTTTTACTTTGTAATTTTTCTTAGTATATACAGTCAGCCTGCTGTATTTGGGTTTCACATCTGTGGATTCAATAACTGCAAATCAAAAATATTTAAGAAAAAATTGTATGTGTACCAAAAATGTACAGACTTTTTTTCTTATTCTCTAAATAATACAGTATAACAACTATTGCCCCAGCATTTACATTGTATTGGGTAATAAAAGTAGTCTAGTGATGATTTAAAGTGTATGGGAGGACACGGGTAGGTTATATGCAAACGTCATGTCATTTTTTATCAGGGACTTAAGCATCTGAGGATTTTGGTATCCTCAGGGGTCCTGGAACCAACCCCCCAGAAACTGTGATGACTTTATGACATTGTTTTTCAATCAGTGAATGTTTTTCCCTTTTGGTTTCCTTGCTGCAACTGTGAAGATAAAGTTAAAAAGTATTTTTACCAAAGTGTACCTAATATTTCAAGCTGAAAATAATTGTTCTACTGTCAGTGTCTCCAGAATGTAGAGCCCACTAATATTTTTATTTTAACTTTACTGAGGTATAATTGACACCTGATAAACTGCACACATGTAAAGTGTACAATGTGTTGGCATATGTATACCTCATGTAAAACTGTCACTGTGATCAAGGTGAGGAACGGACTCATTATCCCCAAGTGCCCTTGTGCCTTGTTATTAGTTTGCATATCCTAGAATCCTATGTAAATTAAATCATACAATATGTATCTCTTTTTTGGGTCAGGCTTATTTTACTCAGTATAATTATTTTGAGATTTATCCATGTGATAGCATGTGTCATGAATTTTTGTTTTTGTGTCTTTCATTGCTGAGTACTACTTCATTGAATAGATTTGTTCATTGGCCTATTGATGGACACTTGGGTTGTTTCCAGTTTGCGGCTGTTATAAATAAGGCTGTTATGAACATTTGTATACAAAAAAAAAAAAGTGAAATTGGAGATGGAGCTTGAAATATTAGTAAGATTAAGTGGCCAGTGGGAATCTGAGGAAATAGGATTCAACTAGAAAAGAAGGTTGTTCTTGTTACTTTCTGGAAGAGTTTAAAAACTTGGGAGCTCTCAAGTGGTTGTTTCATGGAACTGAAGGCAAAAAGCCAGAAAGCAGAGGGAGAAAATAAATAGAAATGCAGAGGAGATAGAAGGAAGACTTTCTGGGTTCTTTTCAATACTCCAGTTCCTCGTTCCCATCTCATCCTGAGCCTCAGCTGCATCCCTGATCTACCCTGGTGTCTTCAAATAAATTCCAATTTTTGGTCGATGAATAGGAGAAGCCAAGCAGTTATTGAAGCCAGGAATCCTAGTCAGGGACACAGGAATGAGCACAGAACCTTGAGTATTATCAGATCTAAGCCTCAGGACCAATACTTGGTGAAGACCTTTGTTGTCTTCACCTAGCTTTCTGGTTGGCCTAGGTTTGGAACCTGGGTTGGCCAGAAGAGTTTAAAGGGGTAAGGGAGGGCTCCTGACGTCTTGCTTGTGGTTCTGGTTTCCATTGAGACAAATTTTCATGGACACACACAAAAGGCTCCTTGCTTCCAGAGCACTATTTGAACTTTGACTACAGGTTGTTGGTAGTGATACCTATAACCTCTCCCATTTAATTCACCAGTTTAGCTGGTGCAGAAGACAGATGGATCTTGAAGAATGACTATGGAATGTCATAAATGTAATCAGATGGGACTCCAATTTCAGCTGCTCTCCCAGAATTGGTACCTTTATTGGGGCAGATTAACACATTGGTATGCACCTGGCGCAGATCTGACATTTGGTATGCACTTATTTACCTGGCTAATGCCTTTTCCTCCATACCAATTTGCAAGGTTCATCAGAAGTGATTTGCTGTTACCCAATAGGGGCCATAATATGCCTTCCCAGTGTTGCCATGGGCTCCATTAGTTCTGCTCGCTGTCATAATAATTGATCTTTGAATCATAGCAGTGATCTTGTCTAGTTAAATCCTATTTCCTGAGATTCCCACTGGCCACTTAATCTTACTAATATTTCAAGGTCCATCTCCAATTTCACGTTTTTTGTATATAAAAGTTCGTAACAGCTTTATTTACAATATAGAAGTGATCTTGATTGTTCTGACATTTCACAAAACATCACACTGGCCCACTCTATTGATGACAATATGTGATCATCACTGGATCTCATGAGTACGAAGTAGCAAGTATTTTAGATGTCTTATGCAAACTAGGGGGTAAAAGATATACCTACAAAAATTAAGGTGGTGAGAGAGGCTCACCTTCTCAATGGTGAGTGATGGCTATTGCTGAAAGGTCCACTGAATAAAACCATATTTTAAATCAGGTAGTTTACCTTCTAAAGGTAGAAAAGTAATTCATTTGGAACCAAACCACCTACTTCAGAATAGCTGTTTTGGCAAGTGAAGCATTTGCCTCAGTGTTTGCTCTTAGTATTATTTTTAACATGATTTCTAATGACAGATTGTGACTTGGAGGTGATTCATTTTTGTTTCTTAGTTGTCTTGACAGCAACATAATTCATGATATTCTGTGTACTTGAGAATCCTAAAATTTTTACAATACAACAATATGATGTTTATTAAAATTTTCCTAAGAAATACACTGGTAGGGCAGGCACAGTGGAGGCTCATAATTGTAATCTCAGCACTTCGGGAAGTCGAGGCAGGTGGATTACTTGAGCTGAGGGGTTCAAGACAGGCTTGGACAACACGATGAAACCCCATCTCTGCCAAAAATACAAAAATTAGCTGGGCATGGTGGCTTGCACCTGTGGTCTCAGGAGGCTGAGGGTGGAGGATCTCTGGAGCCCCAGAAGTCAAGGCTGCAGTGAGTTGTGATGGCGCCATTGCACTGCAGCCTAGGTGAAACTGCAGTGACAGGTAACTCTGAAAAAACAAAGGCGGGGGGGATTGGTAAAAATTCTTTAGGATTGGATGGACTGAAGAGAGAGAATTATTTTTATTAAAGATTATTTTTGGTTACAAATATAGTGACTTAAGGACCATAACTAAATTAAATTTCAAGGAGGGCCAACTCTTAGTGTCTCTTATAGTCACTTCACTTAGAATTTACTTTTACTGCTATGGTGATTTCTCTTTAAATTTTTTTCTGTATTTATGGTTTTATTTTTATGTATTGTGTATTTATCTATGGATTTTTTCCTGAAGAATTATTTTGTGAAATGGAAATTAAAGTGGAAATACTTCTATGCCCTTTTTCCCATGTGCTCTCTCTCTATATAATCCTAAAATTACTCATACAAAATTTAAAAGGATTATGAAACATTTCAAACATACAATTATAAAAAATTATGCGAGTACCCTAGACACACCATTTACATTCAAAAAGTATCAATATTTTGAAAAATTTAGTTATCTTGCATGCAGTGGTGGGGTGCATTTTAAAGCACATCAAAGACCAGATGCTTACTTGGACCTTATTCTCAGGAAGTTCAAAGCTTACATCACATTCTGGATAGCACTGGAGAGAAACCAACACGGGAGATAAACCAGCCATCAGTTTTCTGGCACTCTCTTAGTTTGAAAAACTTTACATCACAAGCAAGCAAGCCTTCCTTTCACCTTTTAGGTGCAAACTGACGAAAATAGCCAGTAGGGCTACTACATCTCACAGAGCCTTGCCCTCAAAATATGCAGTTGAACTGAATTTCAGTTGTTATTTTAAAGCCGTATGTGACAAACCTATTTGACAAATGTACTTTTCTAATCTTTCTGAGAAGAGCGTACTGTGTCGTAGTGGTGAAAAAGCCAGAGGAGCCAGGAGTGGAGGGTGCAATAAAAGGCCTGCATTGGGGCAGACTGCCTCTTTTTGAATCTCTGATTCCTCACTGTGCTTTGGGGAAAACTATGGAAGTTTTCATTGCCTGGCTTATTAAAATGCCACTGCTTAATTGAAATACAGAGGCGTCCATAAGAACCACCTGGAGGACTTTGTTAATCACATTGCAGGACCCCACCCGCAGTTCCTGGTTCTGTAGGTCTAGGTGGGGCCGAAAACGAGCATTTCTAACAAATTCTCGGGTGACAGTGACGCGGCAGGTCCCAAGATAACAGGAAACCCAAGGGACTCTTGGCAGGCGCTCAATAAATGTTCACTGTGAACATCAGCACCATCCAAGCTGCCCACCAGCAGGGGCCGCGGTGTATGCACCGCAGGGAAGAGCACCGCCTCTGTCCAATGTCCCTGCCAGTACATCACGCCTCCTCTGCAGGGACTAGGTTAGAACCGGGAGGCAGCGGGACTAGCGCTCTCTCTGGATAACGGGAGGACTCCCTCGCCAACTTCCTCCTCTGGGGAAAAGCGGGGGCCCTCTGCCACCAGAGTTCTGCTGTCTCGATTTCGCGGCAGTTTGCTTCTGGCCCGGGCGAGAACCTGTCCTCCGGGCAAGCCAGAGGCTAGGACTCCTGTACTCCAGGACTAGGCGGAGGCAGGTGCCGAGCAGAGGCCAGGGCCCGGCGCCCGGCGCCCGACGGGAGGGCGTGGCGGGGGAGTACCCCGCTCCACTCCTGTCCCGCCAGCTCCCGGGTCGGTTCCGAGCGCCCGCGGCCAGATGGCCAAGCGGAAGATGGCTGCCCAGAGGGCCGCGGACAGTCACGTGTCACGCCGGGCCCGCCGCGCACCCCCTCCCCCGCTCGCTAAGTCCTCGACCCTGCGGAGGCACGGCTTTGAGCTGCCTCTCTGCCACCTAGGTGCGGCGCGGGCCGGCCAGGGAGGGCGGGCACCGAGGCGGAAGGCCAGCTGTCCTCGCTGTGCACCCCTAACCTGGGCGCCGAGGCTCTCGGGCAACAGAGGAAAACCTTCCTTCGGGCGACCCACACCAGGTGGGGCTACTGGGCATGCGTGGGCTTCCGCCCTGCCGCTGCCGCTCTCCGGGTTTTTGCGGCAGCTCGGAGGGACGGCGGGAGGTGGGGCCCAGGCGGGGCGGGGCGGCTCTGACGGAGCCGGAGTTTTCACCTCAGGCGGTTAGCGCTCCTGCGCCTCCTTCACGTTCCCAAGCGTCGCCCGAGGCGTTTTTTCTGTTGTGGGAGGAAGATGAGAGTCTATATAGTTAAAGAACGGAAGTTCGGCCGTTACCTCTGAATGATCAATCTGGCGTTAATCCCAAGTGTCGCAGCCCTTGGGTTTGGTGGGAAAGAGAATCTAGAAGTAGTTCGCAAACTCGTGCCCGGCTTCCATCAAGCTGAGTTTGCATTCCCTGCTTTACGCCTGGCTCCAGCGGCTCCGGTCTCCGGCTGAGCTCCTAGGAGCTTACCGTACCTGATTGTAAAACCTGGTTCCCGCCCGGCTTTACTTAGCAGGCCCCTAAAAACGCTGGGGAAAGCGCTAGCCTCCTCAGTTTTCCATTACTTGAAAGTAAAATTCAAGGGGTGCAAACCCCGACTGTCCTTTGGTTCAGGGTCCCGTTCCGTGCCGGGAGGAAACCCCGCGGACCCCGCCCGGCTGGTCCGCCCCCCCACCCCCGGCCGCCGCGAACACCCGGAGGAGCGGAGTCGCGCGTCGCGCGGGAAGCCGGGCCGGCTCGGGCCGCGGACTGGGCATGCTCGGCAGCCCGGTAGGCTCGCGGTGGCAAGTCGGAAGCGTTTGCACCAGCGGGGCAGCGGCGGCGGGCGGCGGGCAGGTCGGGAGCCACAAGGACCGGCCAGGGCAGGCTGCTCTTCCCTCGCGCCTGAGGAGCGGGCCGGAGAGAGCGATTGGGGTGCGGAGCCCCGACGCTGCCCTGCCCCGGATTTCATTCCGCCGCGGGGGGCTCCGCCAGCACAATTCCGGCGGCTGTCGCGACTCCAGTGCAAGTGAGTCGTGGGGCCGGGACAGAGAGCCGGCCTCGGGGGCGGATCGGATACCCGTCTCGTGGGCCCGGCCTGATGCCGGGGAGCGGCAGGCGGGCTGCCCTGGGGCGAGGGG